AAAGTATTACCAAACGACACCTAAATAGTACCAATTAGTATATATATTTTTTTCATTATAAATTAATTAATGTCAATTAATGGCTTAATTAGCATCAATTAATACTAAAATTATTAAATAGTACCAATTAGTATTTTTTTTTTCATTTTTTTCAATATAAATTAATTAGTGTCAATTAATGGCTTAGTTAGCATCAATTAATACTAAAATTATTAATAGTACCAATTAGTATAATTTTTTTTCATTTTTTCATTATAAATTGTTAATTAATTGCTTAATTAGCATCACTTAATACTAGAATAATTAAATAGTACCAATTAGTATAAATTTTTTCATTTTTTCGTTATAAATTAATTAGTGTCAATTAATGGCTTAATTAGTATCAATTAAACTAAAATTATTAATAGTACCAATTAGTATAATTTTTTTTCAGTGGTGCTACATGCACCAATTAGTATACTAACTAGTGTACCAACACTAGTTATGATATTATTATTGACTCCACTCATTAATTACGTTACAAATGCCAAAAACCTTTTAAATTATGTCACATTATCAATTGGTACACTAGTTGGTACACTAAGTGGTGCATATAGCATTATTCAATTTTTTTTCATTTTTTCATTATAAATTAATTAGTGTTAATTAATGGTTTAATTAGCATCAATTAATACTAAAATTATTAATATTATCAATTAGTATAATTTTTTCTTTTCATTTCTTCATTATAAATTAATTAGTCTCAATTAATGGCTTAATTTGCATCAATTATTATTTTTTATTCATTAATTATTTTTTTATTAAAAAAAACACTAAAAACATCCCCATACATTTTTTTTCATTATAAATTAATTAGTGTCAATTAATGACTTAATTAGTATCAATTAATACTAAAATTATTAATAGTACCAATTAGTATAAGTTTTTTTTTTTCATTTTTTCATTATAAATTGTCAATTAATTGCTTAATTAGCATCAATTAATACTAGAATTATTAAATAGCACCAATCAGTATAATTTTTTTTTAATTTTTTCATTATAAATTAATTGGTGTCAATTAATGGCTTAATTAGCATCAATTAATACTAAAATTATTAATAGTACGAATTAGTATAATTTTTTTCAGTAGTGCTACATGCACCAATTAGTGTACTAACTAGTGTACCAATACTAGTTATGATATTATTATTGACTCCACTCATTAATTACATTACAAATATCAAAATTCTCTTAAATTATGTCACATCATCAATTGGTACACTAGTTGGTATACTAATTGGTGCATATAACATTATTCAATTTTTTTTCTTTTTTTCATTTTAAATTAATTAGTGTCAATTAATGGTTTAATTAGCATCAATTAATACTAAAATTATTAATATTATCAATTAGTATAATTTTTTTTTTCATTTTTTCATTATAAATTAATTAGTCTCAATTAACGGCTTAATTAGCATCAATTATTATTTTTTATTCATTAATTATTATTTTTTTATTAAAAAAAACACAAAAAACATCCCCATAAAAAAAAAACAAAAAAACAAAAAAACAAAACAAAAAAACAAACAAACAAATTGAAAACCCTAGCTTCGGTGGGACAGCAGCGACGAACCAGAGTTAGGATTTAAGATTGATCCACAATGAGAGAGAAAGAGAGCCGCTGTCACATCGACAGTCCTTTCTTTTCCTCCTCCTCCTTCTCATCTCATTGCCAGCGTCGATCGCGAAGAGAGAGAGAGAGAGAGCTAGGGTTCGCACTGTCGATCGCCATGGTTTAGATCACATGGTTCAAATCGCGATAGTTCAGATCACGATGGTTCAGATTACGATGGTTCAGATCGCGATGGTTCAAATCGCGATGAAGAGCAATCGAAGAACACCAAAGAGAGAGAGAGAGAGAGAGAGAGAGAGAGAGAAGAGACAGAGCTTTGGTCATCTGAAATCGACCTATTCGCTGGAAATCAACCTAGTTTGCCGGAAATCGCCTCTCCCGTTTGTGTGAGGGAGAAAAAATGAGTGTTCTTAGTTTATATACATGGCACACTTGTAATTAGCATCAATTGGGAAGAGCATTTAAGTCATTTTACGCCCCCCCATTTCAGCTTCCCGCATAAGCTCAAATCAGAAGCACTCCCGGACTGTTTACAAATTTAAGCTCAAAATAGCTTAATCAAAGCTATAATCTATCCCTTTAAGTTTTATCAAACACACCAAAATAATTTAATTTAAGCTAAAAGTTGATTTAAGCTATTTTTAAGTGCTACTAAATAGGTCTTTTATTGAGATTTGTTTGATTGATATAACAAATTTTATTAGAATGTATAGAGTGAAAATTATGAAATTTTCAAATTCCAAAATACAAAAGAACAAAATATGCCACATGCTTGCACCAGAGAAACACATATCATGTCTTTACTATGAAAATCAATTAAGGATATTGGGGCGATGTTTGTTATAATTTATACATGCTGACGGTAATTTATTTTAATATAAGAATTTGTGTCAGATTATTTAGTAAATCTTCTACTTGTAACTTATTAGGTAAAAATAGTTTGAATAAGTTGATTATTTATATTTTTAATGTTTACTTTTTGATTAGCAACTTTTAATTTTAAAAAAATTATACCAAAGAGGGGCCAAATTGTGGTCAATAACAAATGCACGAGACTTAGAAAATTTTATTTATTTCTCTATATTTTATTTTATTTTTTAAAATTGATTGATCTACGAGTTGTATGTATAGGATTTTGGTCAAAAGTCCCTTTTACAGTTTCTAAAAGTTTATACATGCCAATCTTAATTTATTTTAATATAAGAATCTGTATCAGATTATTTATCTTCTACTTGTAACTTATTAGGTAAAGATAGTTTGAATAAGTTGATTATTTAGTAATTGAGCGAATGATATTTTTAACATTTATTTTTTAATTATCAACTTTTAATTTTAAAAAAATTATGCCAAAGAGGGGCCAAATTGTGGTCAATAACAAATGCACGAGACTTAGAAATTTTATTTATTTCTCTATATTTTATTTTATTTTTTAAAATTGATTGATCTACGAGTTGTATGTATAGGATTTTGGTCAAAAGTCCCTTTTACAGTTTCTAAAAGCAAATTCTTCTCTCTTTATACATATATATATATATATGTTCATAAAAAAATGAGTTTGACAACACACCCAGTGGTATAACAAAGTGGTATAACAAATTACGTGTTAATTTTTAAAAATTTAATTATGTAATACTTTAATTCCCTTACCGTACATCCTGTAAGTGAAAAAATACTTAAATTATGAGTCTTTAATTATTAATTAAAAAATAATAATTTATTTTTTTAATTTTTACTTCAAACTTTCATTCCAATCACAAAAGAATTCCAATTCTTTGCTCTCCCAAACAATTTAAAATCTCGTTTGTAAAAAGATTTACTTCCAAACAAACACGGCATTATACAAGGTAGGAATTATTTTTAATTTATTTTAATTTTTAGCTTAATTTAAACTATTTTAATATATTTAATTCAATTTAACAATACAATTTATAATTTTTTATAAATCAAAAACTTATTGTTTAAATAAGAAAAAAAAAAACTTAATTTATAAATAAAAAATCAATTTATACTCACAACTATAACGTATAAACTGTTAGGCTATTACTTTCCCACACAGCTCTACGGGGGCATAGTAGTTCTCCGCTCTCTCTTGGACCTTCTCTCTCAATCAAACCCTAACCTAACGCACCATAGTTTCTCTCTCTCCTTGTACGAACGGAACGATCCGTTGTGTTGTGTCTCCATTAGATTAGATTTCTCTACCTACCTCAGAAATCAAATCAAGCTCGAAGATGGACCATTCATGGCGTCCCCGACCACCACACCCAATCCAAGGTAATAATCTCTGCCCAACTTGCTCAATCTCTCACTTCCCATTTTGCCCTCCACCACCACACCTTATTCCATTCAATCAAAACCCTAGCTTTCAAACCCCCTTCTTCGAAGATCCGTGGCCTAGGCATAGAAACCCTAGTTTGTCTCAGATTGAAGACTCTTCTGGTATTATTGTTAATGGAGGTTATGGGAATGCTGGTTTTAAGAGAATGAGGGTTGATGAGATGGGTACTGGAATTTCAATGGATAATGAGCGTAGATTGAAGTTGATTCACGATCATGGTATGCATGGTATTCGCGGAACTGAAAGGTCTTTGCAAGAAAACTCATTTTTTGATAGGAATGTAATACAACAACAACCAACCAATTATGAGATGAATGAGTTTAGAGATCCCAGGTTCGGTGATTTTGATAGAAAGGTGACATCTTTTCGCTCAGATGAGCAAAATTTGCAGAGTTATAGGAATGTACAACTTAGGCAATCTCAATATGGTCAAGATGGTAATTCTTTGTATCCATCATTGCAGACTAATGGAGGAGGAGTTGGGTGTAATTCAGATTTGGGAGAGAGTTATTCACATAGTGCTTCTTATCCGAATTCCAAAATTCCTAATGAAAATCATTACCACCGCCACCGCCACCTTAATGATTCTTTGTCTGTCAAGGAACCCTATCAAAATGGCTGGCACGGGCTGTCAGCTTCAAGTGCACCCTACCATGAACAGAGAAGTGATCCTAACCTTCATCAACCATTATCACATGCGATGCATAATTCTTTGCGGCCGAACCATGTTAGGCAGTCATATGAAGTTAATGTTCAATCACCTGTTGACAATCACGGTGCATTTGGGCATCAGAATATGCCCATTGCTTCTCAATTTAGCCAACAAAATTTCAACAAATATGAAAATATGTTTCCAATGCAATCTTCACGATTGTTTAATGTCCAGCCTCCTCTTCCTGCTTCTCCACCACCACCTCTTCCAGCGGACCCTCCAGGGCACCCTTTATCTGAACCACATGCTTTGTCTTCTTCAGCAGCCAAAACATCCGCTTCATTGTTTCCCATTCCTGCCTTATTAGGTAAAAATAGTTTGAATAAGTTGATTATCTAACTCATTGGCACAGCCCTATTTTAATGGTAAATCAAATCTCAATGCTTCAACTCTCTTTGCTACTGAGGTATGTTTTTAAACAAGAACTACATTATTTTAGTGAAATAAGTTGAAGTTCTGCACTTTAATAGACTGTATTGTTTGCTGCTGTAATTATCTGGAAAATATAGAGAATTTTTCTCCCTGATTTTTGGTTTCAAAAAGCGTAGCTAGCTACTATATATGATTGAATCTTGAAACTGAGATTTTTGATGGGTTTAAAATAGAGTCTTCATTTTCCAATCTTGTTATTCTTATGAACAAAGAGAAGAATAAAATATAAAGAGATGGTAACAGAAAGTCAAATCTTACCAGAGGTTCTATTGACTGTTTTAACAAGAGACTAATTATAAGTAGTAGTGTGGCTGTTTCTGGAGCACTCTTGTGGCTTATTCGCTTCCATAAATAAGCTCAAAATCATCAATATAAATTTGTCTGACACATGCCTATAAAAATTAAAATATAAAAGGCCATATTAATCTTTATTTGAATGTTTGTAGGAATCTCATATTTGGACTGACAATTGACAACCACTGTTCAGTTGGCTTTTAGAATGTTTGGATATTTTTATTTATTTATTGAGAACTAATCTATTGTTCTAGTATGTTTTCATATTCTTGGTCTTCTGAATATGATGTATTTCCAAAAAACTACCATTGTGCTTTATAGGAATTTCAAACAATCAATTGTACGTCATCTATGAAATATATGAGAGAGGGCCAATCTTTTCCGCTAACCTCTTTGGATAAGCATAAAGTTGTTGATGCATCTCAAATTTTTAAGCAGCCACATCGAGCAACCCGTCCTGATCATATTGTGATAATCCTTCGGGGGCTTCCAGGTACCTCGTTTTAATTTATGCATCTTTATTTGTTTTTCCTCTTTGCTTGGGTTTGATGGGACAATGACGAGTTCTTTCTTAATTATATTATTATTTTAGGTGTCAAAGACAATGTAGAAATCATTGATATGTCACTACTTACGCATTCTTGTTATGTAATTGTTCTGCTGTCGTACATTGGTACATCATTTCCTTCATCAGTTGGTTTCTGCTGGATAGTTGAGTTCATATTTTTGACACTTGTGTGCGTACATGATATTGGGAGTGAGGACCAAAGATTCATTTTGGAGTAACATAGACTGGATTCAAAAGCAAACATTTTGGAAATACATGTTCTAGTGTTGGGAGGACATCTTATAGGTGTTTGAAAACTTTTCAGCCTATGTAACAGTAAATTAAGTGTATTGGATATCAATGCAAACATTTGCACATTACACAAGAATAAGCAATTCCATAGAAGATTTTGATACTCAGTGGAAGTGTAGTTCTCAAGTCATTTACCAAAACTTCTTAATGCAGGTGGATAGTTGTTGTTTTGATTCCCTTCTTCGAAATCCCCTTTTGTTAACCCCCATTTCTTGTATCGATTCTTGCTTCCCATTCTTCAAAGTGCCCCTTTCACGTTTGTATATATAGTAGAAGGATTGGAAATACATGTTCTAGTGTTGGGAGGACATCTTATAGGTGTTTGAAAACTTTTCAGCCTATGTAATGGTAAATTAAGTGTATTGGATATCAAAGCAAACATTTGCACATTACACAAGAATAAGCAATTCCATAGAAGATTTTGATACTCAGTGGAAGTGTAGTTCTCAAGTCATTTACCAAAACTTCTTAATGCAGGTGGATAGATAGGAAATTAGGGCCTAATGCTGCGTACAACAGGAATTATGGTGGGTTTTGGTTATGAAAAATTATCTAGGGTGAGGGTTTTATGAGGGAGAAGAAACAATTAGGGTTTAGGGTGGGAAGGTATTGAAATTTGGATTGATTTTAAAAATCCGGCTTGCAGGATTTGGCACTGTTTGAAGGCGTGAACAACTAAACTAGGGTTTTGGAAGTTAAGGGGTTAGGTATGATTTAAGCTTGTTTTGCTAAGGTTTTGGGCTAAAGAAGTTTATTTTTTTAGGTCTGTGAATAATAATTCGAGAACAGTAATTTTGTGGAAGTGAAATGCCCCTTGGAGAGTAGCTGATGCTGACAAGCTATTCCACAATTCATTGGATCATTAGCTATTTACTTGTATTAATGGGAAGGAAATGTGATGATAAGCTTAATGCGAAGTTTCATGCGATTTTGGTAACCATAAATAAATCTTCTGTTTGATGCACCATCTCCCCTTCTTCTAGGATTTATGTGGAGATTTGTTACATGCAGTATTTTGTAGGGATGAAAATTTGGTCTTATTGAAAAATTGGGGCTTCTGATTTTGTCAAACAAGTGATTCTATGACTGGGTTATAACCACCTGTAGAGTTAACACCGGCATTGCATTTTCAGGTGGTGGGAAGAGTTACTTGGCAAAGCTGTTGCGTGATCTTGAGGTTGAAAATGGTGGTGATGCCCCGAGAATTCATTCTATGGATGATTACTTCATGACTGAAGTTGAAAAGGTTTGTCACCAGTTTCATATCTTGTTGAACTTGAGCTCTAACTCTTCAAACGCTTGGCTTGCTATGCTAGATTTATTCTCCGGCTCATCATTCTGCTGTCCTTTTATCAATTCCTGTTACTTCTAATACAAATGACGTTTGAAAAAGTATTAGATATCTGAGAGAAGTATTGTTTTCTTCTCTGCAGGTTGAGGAAAATGATGTTTCAAAGTCAGCAGGTTCTGTCAGAGGGAAGAAACCAGTTATGAAGAAGGTGATGGAGTACTGTTACGAACCTGAGATGGAGGAGGTATTCCAACACCTTTCAAAATCTTAGAGATTTAATTGTTTAATAAAATTTCAGTTGCATATACATGTGTGTATCTATGTTTATTTACTTTTATTTTTTGGTTTCGGGAGGTTGATGATTTTCATTTTACCAGAACCTTTGGGCTATGGTGGCCAGTTGGGTTAGCCATAAAGCTGTCTACCTGACTACCTTCAACATTGATTTGCTTGACATTGAGCTAGCCCATAAAATTTAATATTATAGAAGGATTTTTCTCTTCTTTATTTTGAGTGGTTGATGGCAATTCTAAAGACCTTTGGTCACATTGCATCATTTCAATGAGCGCTGAAAACTTGTTTGAATGATGAAACAAATTTGTCTTGCCAATTTGTAAGTATTTCTTAAGTTGATTTTTTCTAGCAACATTGAGATAAATACATGTGATTATATATTCAACAAAAAGGCAATTTTTATCTAATGCCAGATAGGCTTGTGGTTAACTTGATTAATGAAGTTACATTATAATATGTACTTCACACAGCTGAAATTTCCTTTGAGTTCAGGTTTAGAGGTAAAAGGATTTTACCACATTAGATTAAATAACAGAACAAAATACCAAAATAGGCAGCAAATTGTATTTGATTGGCTTTCCAGCATTCTTCCTACATAAAAAATTTGAGTACAATTTTCCTAAGTTCATACTCGACCTATTGATTAATCAGGCAAGTTTTCTCTGAGTTGTGTTTTGATTTTAGCCCACGAAGATAAATATTTCCCAACTAAAACTCCCCACAGAAAACGAATTACTGGACTCCTTAAAATCACTAGCATTTTCTCTTGGACCATGGATATGGGAAAAAAATATTTATCCCTTTATTTGCAATTACAGTCTTGCTCTATAATTAAAAAAAGAGAGAAGACAATTGTCGTATTGTTCAGAGGAGTGAAATACTCTGGTCTTCTTCAATACTCTGCAACCTTTTGTAGTTGTGATACTTTTATGAAGGTTAAGAATGGCTCCATTTGGTATATAAACTGCAACATCATGTGGAGTATATTTTGTGTTTGGAAGTGACTGTGAATGTGATGTAGAATAAAAAAGTCAAGTAGTCTTAATAGTGTGTGCTGCCTCTCATGTTTGATTCATATATATAATATGCATGGGTCGTAATTGTAGTATCCTTTGCATGAAAAAGAATATGCATGTCTTAACTGCAAGAGAGAAATCTGAATTGCTTGTAATTACATGCTGTAAATTTGCATTAGTGGTTGATTATATATATATATATATATATATTTTGCATGAGTGGTTGATATGCATGAAAGCGGTTTTGTTTGTAGTTTGTAATCCTGTCAAGGCTCTTTAATGACCTATATTAATTTGGGCAATGCTTTGTAGGTTGTCGACTCCATTCATTTTTTTAACTTCATTGCCATAAATTCTTGTTATATAATACCATTGATAGGATATGTAGTTCTTTGTTAGTTTCCCATGTTGATGTTATATCTCTACAATGGCATTCTTTGTTAGTTTCGTTTGTTGATGTTATATCTTTACAACAGGCTTATCGATCAAGCATGTTGAAGGCATTTAAAAAGACCCTTGATGAGGGGGTTTTCTCCCTTGTAATTGGTAAGAATTTTCTGTGGTGAAACTGCCAGATTATTTTAAAATTGAAAGCTTTATATTAGTTTTTTAAGTGTTCCTATGTCTTTCCACCCATCCCCCCTTGTTTTGTAGCTGTTCATAATGTTTTGGCATTTGCATTGTTAAGATCTTCATTTCTTTTGAGATCAAATCACTTGCATCTTTTGTTTAAAATTTTTGATGTATCAAGTGTCATGAATTCTTTTTATAATTTTTTGTTTGTTTGTTCACTTCTTCCAGTAGTGTTTTGCTATGTGGTGACTTTTGTCTCTCTTAGAGCTTATATGTGCTGATATTTTTGTATAGTTTGGGAAACAGGAGGGTTTTAAAAAATTTTGAAACCTTAGGCATAGTTAAAGAATTTGAGGAATGGTTATAGATCTAGTTTTCGTGTTGGTTCATCATGGTGTACAAGTTCAAAGATCTAGTTTGATTATAGATTAAGTGGTGATGCAGTAGTGCGTATGCACTGCCTTCATTTTCACTAACTACAGATGCAGTTCTTTTTGGCAATTGACCCACTTGTTGCTTGTATGTGTGCCTCGTCTTAGTGGATGACCGCAATCTGCGGGTAGCTGATTTTGCTCAGTTTTGGGCAACTGCAAAGGTATACCCTCAATTCTCTCTTTCTCAAAACCCCAGCGAGTATTTCTGTTCTCAATATATTGTTTTCTGAGGATTTAAAGGTCCAAGAGTCCACATCGTTGTATAGATTTCCTTCAGTTGGACACAATTTATTTTACATGCATCAATTAAATATTTTCAACAGTTCTTAATTTTTATTTATTTATTTATTTATATTTTTTGATCATCAACAGTATATTTGCTATGTATGTTGTAAATTTGACTTTTTTCTACACATGATTATATTTTTTCATTTGCTGTCTTCAATACATAAAAGTGATGTCGTAATGAGCTGGAATCCTAGAATAGTACTTTCTTATAGGAGAGGTAAGCAGAACAGTATGGCATGAGAACTTTGTATTTAGTTATCAACTCAATTAGAAGGGGGATATTTCCCTTAACATTTACGTTTGTGGTGGTAACACTCTTTTATTCTTCTTGGCCATTGACTGATAATGTTCTTTCTTATTTTTGAACTCTATAAGATATCCTAAGCAGTTAGAGGTTTATTGGGTGATCTGATTACTTGAATCCTTTGTTCTCTCTTGGAAACAAATGTTCATTGTTTATGGATCAAGGGTTTTTTAAACACTTTTTCATTAAAATTTTTTTTATAGCTGGGTGTCCGGGCTAGCTTGCGTGCACCTCGACTAATCTCGGGGCCTTGAAGTTAAGGACCAGGTAAACCTACAGTGGCCCCTTGGTGACTCGAACTCAAGACCTTGGATTTTATCCTCAAGTGTCTTCCGCTCGGCCAACCCCTTGGGGTTGGGGGTTTTTTAAACACAATAAAACCTTTCTGGAGGGAGCTTATTTTTCATATGTGCTTTTGAGATCTCTTCAGCTGATTTGCCTATGTCAGAACCTGTGTCTTTCTACTAGACTGTGTGCTACTACTTGTGCTGCTTGTACCAGTACTCTTATTGTTGCTTTTATGATGCTGTTTCAACTATGGAGTGCTTGCTTGACATACTGTTGTTTATTATTTGCTTTGCTTGTTTTCAGAGATCTGGTTATGAAGTTTACCTTTTAGAAGCTACCTACACGGATCCAACGGTGAGTATATCTCTCACATACTAGTACTTTGATTATAAGATTATAAATTTGTGCCAATATAGGTTTTGGAATGCCTAAAAATGTTCCAGCACATGTTTTTACTTGCACAAAATTGCAATTTTCTTTTCTTGACATTGTTAAATTGAATGTGTTTACCTGTGTAATGATAGAAATTGGACATAATTTATTTCCCAAAATGTGGAAAATTCATAAATATATATATTTTCTTTGTGGAATTCTAGGGTTGCGCAGCTCGAAATATACATGGTTTCACCCAGGATGACATACAAAAGATGGCTAGAAAATGGGAAGAAGCTTCGTCATTGTACTTGAAACTGGACATCAAGGTTTATTTTAATTAGGTTACATTTTTCAATTTTTGGTATGGGTACTGAAAGTTTTTTTTTCAAGAGTTTAACCAATAACAGAAAAACACGAATTATAAGAGAAACTGAAATTAACTGTGCCAGTTTATGTTGGCTTAAAAGTTATAATCTTGGTTTTCACATACATTGACATATTTGCTTCAAATTTTGCTGGCATGGTAGTCATTATTCCACGGTGATGATTTGAAGGAAAGCGGGATTCAAGAGGTAATTTCATAGACTATATGCCATTTGAATGCTTTTATCTAGACTAGGAAAGTGCTTCTGAAGTTCTTGTTGATTAATATTCTTGAATAGCTAAAACAAGTTGTAGTTTTGATTCTTGTTGAGGAGATGATTATGTTCATTGTGGTTCTTATCGATAATAGAAGGATCCTGAATTTTGTTCTTTTTAATTTTCTCTCCTTTATTTTTGGTTGCTTTCATTGTATTTCCAAGGACATTATTGGCATGGTACATTATTTGCCAATTGAGGTACATTGGAGTGAAATAGGATAAAGACTACACCAAGTCTGAGGCCTCCAACCTGCGGCCCAATGGAGATATCTTGAAGTCTAATGCGAAGTTTGATTATCATCCGAGATATCTTCATGTTATTATGTATTATATTTCTATTTTTATTTATTACATGACTGGCCATTGTTGGCCTTTTTAGCTAATATCTTGCCTTAGAAGAGAACACTTGGCTGTTGTTTGATAATGCTCAAGTGTAAATCTTTCATGAATGTGCTTTATTAAGTGTATGTGATAGGGCATGACATGATCAGCTACCACTTGGAAGTGATGTTACTTATCTGTTGGTTTTTTTGGTCAAATCTTCCAGGTAGATATGGATACAGAAGATGGAGATTCTGCAGGTACTCCACCTAGACCTGAAGAAAGAAATTTTGAGATCACAGTACCTTCCGTACGAGGTTATTCACCTGATGGTAATCCATGCACTTGTCTACACACTGTTTGATGGACTTCTTTTCTGTTTGCTTAATTATCATGCCTGTGTATCTCTGGATTTTTCTGTCTTCCTTTTCTGTGCTAGCTCAGGATTTGGAATTATAGTCACCTTTTCTTTTGCCTGCCAAATTGTTGTTTTCTACTGTTATGAAAGACCATGTTGATCCATGGCAGTTGTAGAGGCAAGACCGTGGTTGTATAATCAACAATACTACTTTAGAGGGTGGTGCACAATCTATATCCCAAATAAATTTCTCTACCTCTGAAGCAATCTATAATCTCTAATTTACACAAAGTCGAAAACCTAAGGTAGGTCAGCCAGAAGCTAGGTGGTCATCTTCCATAGTAGCAGATATCTGTGTAGATTCAGATTTCATGTTATTATCTGACTAGGCTACAAGTGAAAGTTTTTAAGATATTGGAGACTTTGCATAACTGCAGATGGTGAGTTGAAGTACTCGACAAAAACTTGAACCTCATCCAAGCACCACACGCAATTCATTTCACAAATGGAGAAGTGCTTGCAGAGCTATTTCCGACAAAAAACATTTTTATCTATAAAAGCTAAGGGCTATAGTTTCTTGTGATTTGGGTTGTTTCTTTAGAAGCTAGCTGTTGCCTTTTCGAGTGTTTTCTCTGGCTTGGGCTTTATGCTCTGGGATTGCAAATAATTCCACCTTTGGTAGCTATGGTAGTGTTGTACTATTGGAATTGTTAAAAAGCATAAATAAAAATTTAGTTTGGTACTATTGGATACGGCTTACTAGTTTTCAATTTGCATTATTTGGAAAGCAATAAAAACTGTGAGGTGTACCTACTGAATATACATGAGAAGAATGCATTTTCTACATTTTTGTAGTACATGTAGTGTTGGTTGTTTCTTATATCATCCAAAATTGGTATCCCAGATATACTATTCCATTTTTACCTCATCATTTAAACTTTTAGGTTTTTCGAAGGATGACAATAAATGGAATGCTGAAGGACACCGCCAAAGGGAAGAAGTGAAAGAGTTGGGCAGGAGCAAATGGTCAGATGATTTGGAAGATGATAATACCAAAACTACTGAAGCTACTAAGGGGAATTTAAATGCTCTTTCTGGGTTGATTAAGGCTTATGCCAAAGAAGGTAAATCTGTACATTGGAGTGACCAGGTATGTGTGCCATATCATATTATTATTTTGTTATGAGACATGTTCATATAAGTATTCCTCTCATGTTTTAGGTCATTCACATTTAAAGATGCTCTTTTTTTGTGTTTTTATTTTTAAAAGTTTCAATAAAAACAAACTGATGTAGACATTTTAGGTAAGTTATTACTATTGTTAATTTCGTTTTTGGTGCAACGAGAAGGATTAAGGAGGGTGAAAATTAAGCTGTATGCTGGTTCATCTGTCAAAAATAATAATTGTGCCTATGAACTCAATATTCTCTTTGACAACTTAATTGTGCATCACAAAGAAAAGATACTACAGTGTTTTAAAGGGTAATCAATAATCATCAAAGAAAATATTCTAACTTCTCTTATATCTACCAAGCTCTAGAAGGGAAGAAGTTACGGCTGTAAAGGATTGATTGGTAACATTGTGCAATTAGGCAACAGATTGGTATGAAAAGAAAAATGAGGGGGAGGAGATTGAGAGGGCAACTTTTGAATTTTTTTGTAATATTGACTTTTGGATTTTTCTATAACTTCTGGGCCTTGGAACATATATTTTTCTTACAGTTGGGAAGTCGTTTATGTGAATAGGGGTAATTTGTGAATGCACAAATTTCATGGGCCTCTGCCCTATGATGGAAAGGAAGATGTCTTTTCTGGTGGCAGGATTACTTTTAGTTAACCTGTACTGTTGAATACCATGCCCTGGCAATTCTTATTGGCAGAGACATTCACTGGAAGTTTCTGCCTTTCTGTAGTATGTGATTGTTGGGAGCGGTTTTGCTGCTGTGGCAGTAGGTGCTGTCGCTGCTGTCTCCGACGTGGACGAATAACATTTTGCCGCATGGCAGCGTGCCCACCAAGCTTGGTACCAAGAGTCTAACGTTTTGCTAACATTATATAACTGTCATGCTGACTTTCCAACTTCAGCCTTTAATGATTCTTTCCCTTTTCCAACTCTTTTCCTTTCTCTTTCTTGATTTTTCCATTCTTTTTCCTCTTTGTTGTTTTTCACTCTTTCTTTTCTTCCTGCCAGGGCCCCTCTGTTCATCACTCTTGTTCTTCTCATATATATATATATATATATATAAAGAGATAAGTAGCTTTCAATATATAGTAAAATTTCAGATTTAAAAAAAAAACAAAAAATATATATATTAAAAATATATATATGTATGTATATACATGTATGAGCTACCATTTCTGTGGACAAGTTGAGATTCTGAATAGTCCAAAATTTGATTGAGGTTATACATTTTGACCATTGGCAACTTCAGTAAGCTGATACATCCACTGCGTGGTTTATTTATTTATTTATTTTACACTGCAATCAATCTCTTATGAAACACACCACTCTGGACAGTTCCTTCAGATGTTGCATTCATTCCTAGAGCCCCTAGATGTAATTGGAGAGGTCATTTCTTGACCCAGATACTCAATCCACCTTGCTGGCCCTTCTCATTTTGTCAATCTTCCGGTCGTAGGTAACGACGACAACACATTTTGTGCCAAAAATTTTTGCCTATACTTTTCCATTTGTTTTAATTAATTCACTTGACAACTCAAGAAAAAATTCAAAACCATAAATGCTCAATTGGTAAGCTAAACTTACACTTTGTATTTGGTCTCTGCCTTTGTGAATTGTTGGCAGTATCATATAGATAACAAAATGGCAATGAGTTTTGGTGTAATTCTTTAATCTAACTGTCAATGCAAGCTAATGGGGGTGGTGGTGGTGTTTGCTTTGATAAGTGGATACTTTTCAAGTCTTCAGGGGAGGACCACCAATAAGTAGGGCCTTTAAATTTTGCAGAAGTTGTAGCCTTGGATAGTTGAACTGTTATGATATTTGATTATGCCCCAAGGGGAAATTCTATAATACGCACTTTTCAAGTCTTTGTGGTGTTGTTAAAATCCACCTACTCTCCACCTACTTCACCCACTTAAACCTACTCCACTAAACCTAACCCACTACACCACTATCACCTCACCTACTCCACTAAACCTTCACCCACTTAAACCTACTCCACTAAACCTAACCCACTACACCACTACCACCTCACCTACCCCACTAAACCTAACCCACTACACCACTACCACCTCCACTTCACTTACTCCTCACCTACTACACACTCACCCTCTCCTATATATAGGAATCATTGTAACCATAACATTAATATCCATCAATAATACAATTCTCTATTTCTCTTTATACATTAAATTTTCTACATGGTATCAGAGTAAGGTTAAGCACTTAGTATTTTTCGCTTCACCGGCGGGCGGCACCCTCGCCTTGGCCGCCCGCCGGACCTCAACCTAATCTGCTAGAATTTTCTACACATACCTTGAAATTTCTTCGAGTCCACCACCACTGCCTCTCCTCTCACTGTTGTCCTCCCATACACCACCGTCTCGATCGTCTTCATCTACAATGTTGCAGTGAAGGATCTCAAGCATGGTTTTGTTGCATCCAACTCAAAGGATGATCCAGCCAAGGAAGCTGCAAATTTCACCTCCCAGGTTATTATTATGAATCACCCGGGTCAGATTGGTAATGGGTATACTCCAGTTCTTGACTGCCACACCTCCCACATTGCTGTCAAGTTTGCTGAGATTGATCGTCGATCTGGCAAGGAGATTGAGAAGGAGCCCATATATATATATAAAGAGATAAGTAGCTTTCAATATATAGTAAAATTTCAGATTTAAAAAAAAAACAAAAAATATATATATTAAAAATATATATATGTATGTATATACATGTATGAGCTACCATTTCTGTGGACAAGTTGAGATTCTGAATAGTCCAAAATTTGATTGAGGTTATACATTTTGACCATTGGCAACTTCAGTAAGCTGATACATCCACTGCGTGGTTTATTTATTTATTTATTTTACACTGCAATCAATCTCTTATGAAACACACCACTCTGGACAGTTCCTTCAGATGTTGCATTCATTCCTAGAGCCCCTAGATGTAATTGGAGAGGTCATTTCTTGACCCAGATACTCAATCCACCTTGCTGGCCCTTCTCATTTTGTCAATCTTCCGGTCGTAGGTAACGACGACAACACATTTTGTGCCAAAAATTTTTGCCTATACTTTTCCATTTGTTTTAATTAATTCACTTGACAACTCAAGAAAAAATTCAAAACCATAAATGCTCAATTGGTAAGCTAAACTTACACTTTGTATTTGGTCTCTGCCTTTGTGAATTGTTGGCAGTATCATATAGATAACAAAATGGCAATGAGTTTTGGTGTAATTCTTTAATCTAACTGTCAATGCAAGCTAATGGGGGTGGTGGTGGTGTTTGCTTTGATAAGTGGATACTTTTCAAGTCTTCAGGGGAGGACCACCAATAAGTAGGGCCTTTAAATTTTGCAGAAGTTGTAGCCTTGGATAGTTGAACTGTTATGATATTTGATTATGCCCCAAGGGGAAATTCTATAATACGCACTTTTCAAGTCTTTGTGGTGTTCTAGTATTGACTTCCATACCCAATGCACGAAAGTTACAAAATAGAAGGAAAAGAAACATAAATATATATATATATATATACATTTACATTCAAGCTACTAGCCTATATATAATAAAATAAAATATACAGTTCCATTTAGAGTTTAAATAAAATACAAGAAAAAGAGTCTTACAGTCTAGCAGGACAAAAGCTCTGGCAGGAAGAAAATAAAGAGTGAAAAACACAGAATGAGAAAATCATGAGAGAGAAAGGAAAAGAGTTAGAAAAGGGAAAGAATCATTAAAGGTTGAAGTTGGAAAGTCAGCATGACAGAGTTATGTTAGCAAAACGTTAGACCCTTGGTACCAAGCTTGGTGAGCTCACTGCCCTGCGGCAAAATGTTATTCGTCCACGTCGCCAACAGCAGCAACAACACCTACTGCAACAGCAGCAAAACCGCTCCTGCGATTGTCAATGCTTGCCACGAGTTTCTGTAAAGCTGGTGCATATTGCTACGTGCTCTTGTGGTTAACTAAGGTTATCATGATATAAAATGCTGGAACATTGTGCAGGAATTACAAAAAATTAAGAACAAAGGATGTCAATTGAATCCTTGGGGCTGTGTACGTTGAAGCAGTGATGTCTCATAGGATGTTCAGGATTGTGATCTTATTGGCCAATGAAGTGTAGAATTCATATGAACCAAAAAAAAAAAAATTGGGTGTTAATTGTTTCCCGTAGAAGATGTCGTCCTCTGTTGCTTGATAGTTGTTGGTGGATTAGCTTCTCTGTTTATTACATTAGTTTGATATTGTTCCATCGGGGGCACAACTCTCCTCTGCTAGCTATTGAGTTTTTGCCTTGATACATGCTCTTCTTTTGGAAATCCTTTTTATACTGTCTGTCTGTTATGTCTTGCTGCTCACCTCTTCCTCTTTGCAGGTTGGCAATACTGGCTTTTCCATAGGGGCAGCTAGAAAATTAAATATTTCCTTAGTGATTGGGCCTGGTGCTGGATACAACTCGGTGAGTTAATACCCAGCTATTTCAAGTGGCCCGTCCTTTCCTGTGATGGTTCTTATTCTTTTATTCTTTATTTTTTGGTTTTGGAGTTACTTGAATTGTGTTGTCTGTCATTTTTTTGGGTGTATTTACTTCCCAGGATACTCGTTAATACACGGAACTTGTGTTGTTTATGAATTCTTGTTTTGTTAGTTTTTTTTTAAGGACAAATTGCAGTTTATATCATCTAAGCTAACCTAATCCAAGGGATCTTAATTTGCTGAGATAGGAAGCTTGAGTTCGTGATCAACCTACAGGATCTTAATTTGCTGAGATTCATGGCTTGTATGCCTGGATCTTAGTAGTAGGAAACTCGTATAGGGGCCTTGCTTGCTCCTCATTCCTACTCCCAACTTTAAACTCTTCTATAGGGCCCTCGCTCGCCCATCCCTGGTCCTGCCCCTAGTCCTGCTCCCGCCTTGTGCAACTATGGCCTCAACCGAGGCTTGAACCTTCAATCTTCCTTATGGGGACTGGAAGTAATGCCATCTGACCTAGGCATCGTTGGCACGATTCTTGTTTAGAGTTTATATGTTTTTTCTTTTCTGACAGTCGATATTTTTTTCTTGAATGGGAAGTCAGCCTCCTGACCTAGTTATATTTCATTGTAATGCTTGCAGAAATCCAACCCCTTGCCCGATGAACATGTTTCAACTGGGAATACTGATGAGTCAAAGAAGCAAAGCGGATTCCAAGAGAGAATCCGTGCAGAACGAGAGTCCTTTAGAACTGTTTTTGACAAGAGGCGACAGCGAATTGGTGTGCTTGACTTGGAGGAAGAATAGTACAAGAAAATGGGCTTTTCAAGGTGTCCCCTTTTTACCCATTTAAAATTTTCAAAATTCTTTGTAGTCTATGAGAGAGAGAATAGTAATTCGGTCTCTGTCCTTGTAATTGTACAAGCCTTATAAGCTTAATGACACTGATTCAATGGTAGAAAATTGCTGGTTTGCATTTTTTGATCTTTTGGTAGACTTGTTCACAATGTTAGAAGGGTTTATGTTGCAAGTACCACAACTTGAGGCCACTTGAGTTGGATTGTCACTTGTGCATTTGCCAACCTCATCGAATGGAAAAGAATGCTGCTTATACAAACATGACATTATTTTTATTCATAGATGTGAAATTTAATTGCTCTTTTGGCACTTAATTTTTTGGCATTCAAGTGGTATAAATAAATCTCATGGGGTGTGTTTGGCAGTTACGGTTTTTACTGATAACCTAGAGAGATTGTGATGCTGTGATTATTTCTGGATATTTTTGTTGCTTTGTAATTATGTGTTATGTTGGCTGAAAAAACCTAAAACTTTATGAAGCCTTCTCTTAAAGGCAGCTAGGCTTTGGGTATTTGTTTCATGTATAATGTTTGTTTCATTTTAATGCATCTCTTTTTTTCTCAAAAGAAAAGATAAAAACTAAAACTAAATAACATTCTAACGTATTCACAAAAATGAGGGAAAAAAAGGTGAAATGTATAAGTGCATGCGTGCACAAATTTTTTAAATGGTTTTTGATCTTTTTAATGAGTTTTTAATTTAATGAACTAAACACAATTAGTTTTTAAGTGTAACACCTCACATTTATGTACTAGACAATTACAAGAAGATTGAATTCAAATCCTCTCAATTAAATTTCCATGATCAATGGTAGGGGTGTCTACAAACTTAATCGATTTGTCAAAATTGATCGACTCAACTAATTTATCTGTTTTTTAATTGGTTTTGATAGTATGGCGGACAGAAGCGGATGGAGATTTTTTAAGTCCATCTATGTTTGGTTGAATGGTGAATGAGAGGTCATTCAATCTAACTCGATTCGCCAACTTCTCTTACGAAAATGATGGTATATTTTTATATTTTATATGTTAAAAAAAGGATATATAATTTAATAATAATATTAGCTACTTAGGAACTAAGAAAGTTTGACCTTTATTTTAATTATAAAAAATGAAGAAATTTTTTTTTTGAAATCAAATAAGACCCAAAATAGTAAAAAAATTACTTTAAAATAGTTTCAAAAAAGTATAAAAAAGCAAAGTTCAAACTGTTAAATCGATCTGCATCTACTAGCACGGTTCCCTCAATTTACATTTGCTAACTAAACGGATGGATGTAGATTGATTTATTTTTTAATTTACTTAAATTTAGACGAATGGCAGATGGGAGGTTATCTGACCCAACCCAATCTGCGAGCACCCTTAATCAATGGACTTCAGAAATTCTTATTCAAAAATTTTTATTTCAACTACAAAAACATTTAAAAGAAAGTTCTAAAACTTATAAAATGTTGCAATCTCATGAAATAAAATGACAATACCGATTGGATTCATGAAATGAAAAGGGTCAAAAGTCAGAATATCATAATGATCTAATCAATTATTATGGATGAGTAGAACTTAAATGGTTAGCAACATTTTGAGAGTTTTGAAGGCTAACTAAACCAATTTCAAGAGTAGATAAAGAAAATGGTTAGACATAAAATATAATATAATTTTTTTGAGTACTTCTTTTTAAGTAAAAGGTATGTTTAGTATTGGAGTTCCTCTCACAAACTATTGGAGTTGGATGATAAAAGAATGTGCCCTATCGTATGTTATTTGCAATGTTGTGCTTTATTTCTAGTTCAAGAATCATTGAATACATTGGTGGGTGATCTAGCCATTCAATAATTCTAATTATGAAAACTAGACTAGAATTTTACCACAAAAATACGTGTTGAGTGAAGATTTAAAATTAGTGTATTGTGATTCATCTCTAGAATGAATCTTATCAATGTATTTCAATTCTGCACAATTTGTTTGGGTATATAACATAATTGTTTGCCATTTCACTTAGTTAATTGGTAATTTTGTAGCCAATAAGGAGTCAATACAATTTAATGTTCAAAGCCTCACGACAAAATACAAACACATAAAAGATCATTACCTACTACCTCTTTTAGATTTCGCTATAAGCAAGAGTTTCGTATACTAAATACGACAATTTATTTTTTAATTTTTTCATCCTCAATAGTTTTGGGTTTGTAACTGTATACTTGTAGTCAACCCTTGTGTTACTATTGCAATACAATCTAATCATTCAAAATTTGTGTATTCAAGAATAATAATCATGAAATTTTAAAATAAAACTACAGGTTGTATATTCTAAAAAACTTCCAAGCTTCCTTCAGCTGGCACAAAAAAGAAAATGATAAATTTTCTCTTATTTTGTTTTCACGTCTTTATACTCTATTTCTTTTTTTTGAATTCACACATGTATATATATAAAATAATATATATGTAGATATATAATCAACATGGACTATTTGGTACACAGTTGAGAGAACCAGAAAATTGTGTGAGTGTAGACACATATGATCCAGGCTTGGGAGGGATCAAATCTTTCGTGGGGTAATGCTGATTAGGGTTTCCAGATTGAGTGAAAAATGCTCCATCCATCATAACATCTCCCTCTGATCTCCACAACCAGTTCTTCCACACACTCTGCGGCGCGTAGTCTCTTTTAGTCACCTGCTCCACCATTGTAGACAAAGAAATCACTATGTTAGAGACTTGTCACACATCATTTCTCTAACAATCTATTTGGATTTAATGATTTGAAAAGAAAAGAAATGCATTTCTCTTAATTCATATCGTTGATTTGAATTAGTAAAGATGAGAGAAATGGGAAACAACTGAAAGAAACTCATTTTAGATCTCGGTTGTAACCCAAAGTGGTCATGATGTAGTACTTTTGGTACTAGTGAGGCGAGTTCTCAAGTTTGAGTCAATGAAATAGTATTGGCCTGATATAGTGATTTAACTTTACTAATAAATCTACTAATATCTGACCGTGTGGAATAGAAAAAAAAATAACTTGCTAAAAATTTACTTTTTGTCTATTTAAGTATATAAAAAAAAATTTAAATGTTTTAGACCGTTGTAGTCTAGTATGATTTAGGTGGCAAAAAAAAAATCACCTCTTTGTTTGACGAATGCTTTTTTTTTTTGAGGTCCTTATAATCAACAATGATTCAAAAAGTAACATTATTTTGAAAAAAATAAATTCAAACCATACCTGAACTTTTTCAATAATGAAAATATATACATATATATATTTATAACATTTGTTATACATATTAATTTTTGTGACAGAAAAGTGAAAAACTAAAAAAGTAATTGTGAAATGAATAAAAAAACTTACTTCTTTTGCGAAAGGGTTCTGAGGAGCGATGAAGCGGTTACCCTGACTAATAATAGTAGGATGTTGGCTACCGCCGATGGCATACATGAGCCAGTGAGTGTAATCGTTGTTAACGGCGTGGATGAAACCCCACCGAGCCCTAGGCATCCTCTGCACCAATCCTTGCCCAAAGTGGTTGAAAGCAACCGTTATTTGCATTACTGAGTCCCCTGAGAAACTGTCACTCGCGCCAAATAACATCACCTGCACATACCCATCATATTTGATGACCGGATTCATTCTGTTCATATTCTGTTATTTAGTGTGTGTGTGTGCAAGTAAAATAACCGTATAGAGAAACTGTATATTATACCTCGTTGTGGTGAGTGAAGTGGCAGTTGGAGATGGTGATAGCAGTGGAACCTTGAACAGCATCAACAAGACCATCAGCACAGTTGGACATGGACAGATGATCCACCCAAACATGCGACGATCCAAATATCGACACTCCGTCCCCGTCGCTTTTCGTTCGTAATCCGAAGTGATTCAACGAGTCTCTGATCATCCCTCCATTGCCCGCCTTTATGTCGTGAATCCGAAGCCCATGCACGATTACGTTCTTCACAAACTGTATCGTTATCCCCGCTCCACCTACAAGACATCCCATCAACTTTTTTTTAAAAAAAAAATTACTATATCAATTTAGTCTTTAATTTTTAAAAATATTTTATAAAAAGTGTTTCAAAAGTTCTCGTACCTGCGATCTGCACATTGGCTCCACGTGCATCGATTGTCTTGTCGCTCGTCATGATTAGCTCCTCACTGAGCCGGATCACCATGTTTCGCGCGAATATGATCCACAATGGTCCATTTTGAATCACTGCATGACGCAAGGTGCCCGGTTTAGGGTTTACCATGTCGCTGTCGGAGGGATCGGTGACTGTGTACATCTTGCCGCCCTTCCCTCCCGTGGTTTGGCTGCCGAACCCTAGGGCGCAGTCGGCGAGCTTCATCCGGTTTTTTTCCCAGTCCTTTTGGCACCTCCAGCACTGGTCTATGGGGTTGGTAGCCATGCATGAGCCAAGGTACTTGTGTAGATCCCTTCTTGTGCTATTGTCACCTTCTGTTGCACTTCAACATTTGAAAACCAACTTTAATTATTCACTATATATATATATATATATCCATTACCATGCCAAAGTAGGAGAGTATTTGGGAAGATTACGCTGTCCATCTAAGCGAAATTTTACTCTAGGTTTCGTAATTTAATTTGAATAATTTGAGTCTTACACTTTCAATTTTATTGTAATCTGATCCGTTCAAAAAAATAAAAATAAATAATGTATGAAATTTGATGGATCAAAGTAGAATTCAAAAGAAATTACAAGGGACTACTAGTGTAAATTATTCATTACACCAGTGATACTTATAGTTTCTTTTTTGAATTCTACTTTTGTCTCCCAAATTAGTTAGTCTTTTTCGGTGTAAAATTGTAAAATGTAACGACATATAATAAAGGGATTATATTGTAATAAAACTAAAAATATATGATTCAAATTAAATCTATGGAGACTAAAATGCACTAAAAAGTACATCATGTCAATTTCATAATGTACCCGTTTACGTATATTACTTTCTCATTAAGGTAGATCGATTGCAAAAAGGAAAAATATGACTAACATTCTTTGCTCCTAAATCATTGACTCTTTGTCCCAAATCATCTACAGTCATTGGTTTATGTAAATTCATGTAAGAATCTCAAGATATAGGGATATCAAGACATACCAATGATTATAAGTGTTTTGGGAAAGGAAAATAAAATGATTTGGGAGGAATGGATTCCTAGTCAGAAAAATCTACTGAACATGAAATTTGCACAAACAATAGATATGGACATGGGGCTCGTTTGTTCACTTGTATGTCCAAGTAGTACAATTGGTGCAGTACGAGCAATGCATTTTGAACGCAAGGTTTTGAACATTGGTTCATACGTACGTATCGATTTTTTTTGGTCTTTTGATAACAATGCAGTCTAATAGATCGGTAAAATAAAAATAGCTTGCTTATTGGCTGGTTCACCACACATAGGTTTACGACTGGTTCAATTACCATAAAGCTTTTTTTTTTTGTTTTTTGCAACTAATGATTTTAAAGAAGTTACAAATGCATAATGTGATTCTTAATAAGTGTGATTTAATACTCTTAATTATATTGCGATTGATATCAATTCGTCTTCTAATACTCTTATTTAAGACAGTCTCTTATGCTGTGTTTGGTTGGGGGATTTGGGAATGGATTTGGAAAGAGAAAGGGAAAAGGTGTGTGAAACTATGTGAAATATAGGCATGATTTATTCACATTTCACCTACCTTTTCTATTTTTCTTTCCAAATCCCTTCTCAAATCTCCCAACCAAACACAACATTAGAGATAGAGAAAGAGGACTTACTTGTGGACATGGTGGTTCATATGATTCATAACTTCCTCAGGATTGGGGTGGTAGGCCTGGCGAGCTGTCTCATTCGCTTCCTCAGCGCGCTTCTGCCAGACCTCGTCATATTCAGCTATATTCGCCTCAATTGTCAAAATGATTCCAACAAAAACTAAAATAAAAAACCTAACTTTAACCATTTCCATTGTTGCCATACTCTTTTTTAGCTCTTTCTGTCTCTTTTCCTTTCTCTTTTTGTTTTTGTGTTTTTTTTTTACACCTTTTTCTCTACACCCTTTTTTCTCTTTTCTTTTTTTTTATATATACTTTAGTTTAAATACCACAAAGATGAAGGTCTTAATGAAACAATGGAAATGGGGATGAGAAGTGGGGAGGGAAGAGTGGGCAACCACTGCCTACCAACGGTCACCTGTTTAAAATTTGTTTGGTTTCTTTTATATGGATGTTGTGAGAACGTCACTTGCTTTATTTTAATATCTTATATTTGTTTATTGATTTATCTTTTTTATAAATAGGGTTTCATTACTTTGGTAACCTCTTGGTCATAAATTGAGGTTAAATAAAATTCATGAACTTGGTTAATGGTCATTATTTTGGTGTAACCATTTTCTTGTTTAATGGTCATTATTTTTGGTGTAACTGTAAGGTCTTAATAGCCTATAAATAGTCTACTCTTTTCTATCTATATAGATCAACTATTTTCTATACAAGAGAGATTACTAGCAAAGAAGAGTGTTTTATTGGTGGAGCTTTGGGTTCACCATCTTGTGCAGAGTTGGCCTGAACCATACGACAAGTGGTCGGGCTGTTGTATCCTGGAGGGGACAAGTCATACTGTTGTGACTGCTGCATCGGTATTTGGATTCTTCCTACCGCAGTGGGCTTGATCTCCTTAAAGAAAACGAGATATCCGTGTCTCAACCTGATCTATTTGTATCTCATTTTCTTTGCATCATTTATCAATAATATAGTTTAGTTTCTGGTATTTTCACCAACAATTTTAAGAAGATCAAAGGTGGAACAAGTACCAGAAAAAACCAATGATGGAATTGGAGATCTCAACATACCTTTCAAGTTCAAAGGAGTTCGTTTTAAGAGGTGGAAAGGAAAAACTCTTTTTTACCTTAGCCTTTTGAAAGTTGCATATGTTCTTACCAAAAAGAATCCAAACAAAATCCCAACCGAGGAGATGAATGATGAAGACTACGAGGCACGTGAAGCAAAAGTGGCTTCCTATAATACAGATGATCTCTTAAATTTCCTTGCTGATTAATTTTATGATTATTACTATGACACCACTTACATTTTATCTTCTATTAATTTTTGATATGCTCGCTTGTGTCATATAAATAGTAAATATGTAGGAATCATGAGTAGTTTAGAATTAATTCTTAAAGTGACAAAAATTTTTGAGAAATGTGAAGTTTGCAGTAAAGCAAAAATTAGCAAGAGGCCTCATAAAAGTGTTGAAAAAAATACCGGATTGCTAGAATTATTTCACACTGATTTGTGTGAGTTTGAAGGAATTTTAACTCGGGATGGTAACCGATATTTTATCACTTTTATTGATGATTTTTTAAAATACACAAACGTATATTTATTAAAACATAAAAGTGATGCTTTTGAGAAATTTAAAGAATTCCTTCTTGAAGTGGAAAATCAATTCGGTAAAAAGATTAAAAGAATTAGAAGTGATAGAGGCCTGGAGTATGAATCTCTAGGATTCAACTCTTTTGTTTAGTCATTGAGAATTATTCATGAGACTACTCCACCATATTCACCTTCATCAAATGGCATAGCTGAAAGAAAAAATAGAACGTTAATTGACTTAACGAATGCTATATTTATTGATTCAGATGCTCCCTAAAATCTTTGGGGCGAGGCTATTTTGACAGCTTGCCATGTGATAAATAGAGTGTCACACAAAAAGACTAAAATTGTACCTTATGAGTTATGGCGTGGGCATAAACCAAATCTAGGTTATTTGAGGGTTTGGGGTTGTTTAGCTTTTGTGAGGCTTGCAGATCCTAAACGACCTAAATTGGGTGAACGAGCTACCACCTGTGCTTTTCTTGGGTATGCATTGCATAGTACAGCTTATAGATGTTTTGATATGAAAAATAATATTATTTTTGAATCAGGTGATGTTATTTTTCATGAAAATAAATTTTCTTTCAAATTTAGAAATAGTGGGGGTCAAATAATTTCTAAAAATATTTTATCTATGCCTAGCTCTTCTACTTCTTCTCAAGTTTTTCAAGAAAAAGAAAATTTTCAAATCCAACCAAGAAGAAGTAAATGAGCTAGAGTTGAAAAAGATTTTGGCCCTGACTATTATCTTTACAATGTGAAAGAAATTCCTCATACAGTACAACAAGCTTTATCATCACCTGAAGCTATTTTCTGGAGAGAGGGCTGTAATTGATGAGACAGACTTACCACTTTCAAATAAAACATGGAAGTTAGTGGATTTACCTCTAGGTTGTAAAACTATTGGGTGTAAATGGGTCCTTCGTAAAAAACTTAAATCGGATGGAACTATAGATAAATATAAAGTGAGGCTTGTCGCTAAAGGTTTTAAGCAACAAGTTGATCTTGATTTCTTTGATACTTTTTCTCCGGTTACTAGAGTTACATCCATTAGACTGTTGATTGCAGTGGCTGCAATTCATAATTTAAAAATTCATCAAATGGATGTAAAAACAGCATTTTTAAATGGAGATCTAGATGAAGAGATTTACATGGACCAACCTGAAGGCTTTGTGGAGCCTGGCCAAGAAAGCAAAGTGTGTAAGCTAACTAAATCCCTTTATGGTTTAAAACAAGCTCTTAAACAGTGGCATAAGAAATTTGATTCCTGCATGCTTGAGAATGGCTATAAGACTAATGAATGTGATAAGTGCATATATTATAAAACTTGTGAGAATGCACATGTGATTATTAGCCTATATGTGGGTGATCTACTTATCTTTGGCTCTAATTTGCATATTATAAATGAGACTAAAAATATGCTTAATAGCCACTTTGATATGAAAGATTTTGGTGAAGCCAATTTTATTTTGGGAATTAAAATTACCAAGACTAAGGATGGCATTTTTCTTGATCAGTCGCATTATGTTGAGAAAATTTTAAAGAAATATAATTTTCTAGACTGTAAACATGTTGCTACTCTTTTTGATGCAAGCATACACTTATCTGTTGTAACAAATGAAAAAAAAGTGATTAATCAAAAGGAATATGCTAGCATGATTGGTAGTTTGAGATATGCTACTGACTGTACTAGACCTGACATTGCATATGCTGTTGGAGTACTTAGCAGGTTTACTAGCAAGCCAAGTCGAGATCATTGGCTAGCCATGGGAAGAATTATGAGATATTTATTTAGAACAAAAATTATGGTTTGTTTTATAACAAGTATCCTGCGGTACTTGAGGGATATAGTGATGCCGATTGGAACACTTTGTCAGGTGATTCTCTCTCTACCTCGGGTTTTATTTTTACCTTGGGTGGTGGTGCTATATGTTAGAAGTCTAAAAAATAGATGATAATTGCTAATTCTACAATGGAAGCTGAGCTTATAGCGTTAGCTTCAGCATGTGAGGAAGCGAATTGGTTGAGAGATTTGTTACATGAAATTTCTTTTTGGAAAAAACTAATTCCTCCTGTGTTAATTCGTTGTGATAGCACTGCTGCTATTGGTAGAGTGAACAATCATTTTTATAATGGTAAATCCAGACCTATTAGAAGGAAACACAGTAATGTGAGATCCTATTTGAGTAATGGCATCATAATTGTGAATTATGTAAGATCTTGTGATAATCTTGCGGATCCGTTAACCAAGGCCTTGGCGAGAGATAGGGTCTGGAATACATCGAGGGGGATGGGTTTGAAGCCTATAAAATCAAAAACCATGTATGAGGATACCCAACTTAAGGACCAGAGATCCTGTAACTAGGTTCAATGGGAAGAACGAATCATATAGTGGTTGTAAAAAATGCACTCTTTAATATTTTGTTATCCATCCTTATGATGTAAGTGCATTTGTCCTGTAATGTTGGAGGGTTGAGTTTTTATACTCTTAATGAAATTTTGTAGCTCTTGTTGAGTGGAGTGTGTCAATTACAGGAACATCCTTGACAGATTTCACCTATGTGAGTATGAAAGTGGGGCCGCTTTCTATGAAAACAAGGCTTATTCTCAAATATGCTCATGAAAACTGGGATTAGCACAAGGCCGTAATGTGCTAGCTATTAAAACTCATGTTAACACTTGGATTATTATGTATGAGCAGTAATTCTTTATTTCCCCTAAGCAGTCATAATTCAAGTCTGAGACCACTACTGACTCTAGAGTAGAGGTTGCTGTTTCACTAATGAAGGTTCAATGCAGAGCACACCATCATGATGCATACTAGTCTATCTTTGTTTGATAATCTCTTTTATCCTTGTTGATATTAAAATGAGTGGGGGATTGTTGGACCATTTTAATATCTTATATTTATTTATTGATTTATCTTTTTCATAAATGGGGTTTCATTACTTTGATAACCTCTTGGTCATAAATGGAGGTTAAATAGAATTCATGAACTTGGTTAATGGTCATTATTTTGGTGTAACCATTTTCTTGTTTAATGGTCATTATTTTTGGTGTAACTGTAAGGTCCTAATAGCGTATAAATAGTCTACTCTTTTCTATATATAGAGATCAACTATTTTCTATACAAGAGAGATTACTAGCAAAGAAGGGTGTTTTATTGGTGGAGCTTTGGGTTCACCATCTTGTGTAGAGTTGGCCTGAACCATACGACAAGTGGTCGGGCTGTTGTATCCTGGAGGGGACAAGTCATAGTGTACCCTGGAGGGGACAATTTGATTTCTAAATTGCAAAATCTGAGTTCAAATAGTTTTTTTTTAATTAAACTAATAAGACTGGCCGTTTAATCAAAACTTGTATATTTTATTAAAAAGTTAATCGTTAAAATCTCCTCATCTACGTGTGAGTCTTATTCTGTGTATATTTTATTGAAATTTCTTTCTTGCACTTTGAGGATTTTTCTTTGTATGTATTAGTATTTAATCTTTATTATTATTATTATATATTATTTTGAAAAAACGGAGCAGAGGCCTTAATTCACACCAAGGATCCTCTAGAGTGAAATTTTTCTAAAGTTTCCTAGAGTACTACATTGTGTGGTTGAGATTTACTGGTAAGTCACATCAGAAAAATTGATGTGACTTGCCAGTAAATCTCAACTACACAATATAGCACTCTAGAAAACTTTAGGAAAAAATAACTCTAGAGGATCCTTGCTCCTTAATTCATTGCACACCTCACACAAGGGATGGAAGCCTCCACTCATGAATAGAAAAACAAATCTCAACTCAAGGAGGAAATATAAAGATAAAACAAACATAACACACAAAACATAAAAAAGCAAACACACCACTAAAAACCATCATAATCTTTTACAAACTCTTCTTGTCGCTACCGGCCACTTAGATGCCGCAATCTTTGCTACACAAGAACAAATCAAATCTACATGATCAAGGATGGATTTTGCTGTATTTCCTCAATATTTTAGGGATTTTTTATTTTTTTATTTTATTTTTGGTCTGTCGGTTTCCCTATGTTAAAAAAAAAGTCACTGTTCACACAAAAAAAAAGAAGGGAAAAAGAAGAGAGGGGCCTTTTTGGATCCAAAGGAAGTTAAGAATAGTGCTTTTCTTCCTCCTAGACTCAGCCACCAAAACCCTAATACTCCAACTTGAGGAAAAAGTTTGGAATCAGAATTCAAGATCTCACAAGAAAGGCTACTTCAATTTTGACCATCCTGAAAGCAAAACAAGGCCAGACCATCAGTTTTCTCACCTTATATATACATACAAGATACAATATAAAGATTTCAATATCAATTCAACTACACAAATCACTGTTAGATTGTATTGTAATTTACAAAATCCACAGCTCATCAATGGCAGTAAGACAACATGCTGCTGAAAGGAAAGAATCGCGCGGTCTTGTAGAGCAGTTTGAACCTTCCTCTGCTTGGACAGAGGATTCAAATTGCCACTATTTGCTTCTTGATCTTCCTGGTATAGAAGCTTTATCCTTTTCAATTGTTCCTAGCTTTTTTCATTTTTGGATTCATATTTCTAGTGTAGATGTATATGTAATTGATGTAGACCTATGGTGTATCATATATTTAAAGAAATTTACTAATCAACAAATAGCTACGTAGTTGATTGGGGTTAGGTCAAGGTAGCGGCGGAGTCAAATCTTGACTAAGGCGGCTTATTTTGGAAAAATAGTAAAAAATAATTTTTTGACTTTTAATCAAGTTTTTGACTTTTTTAGATAAATGATTTGAAAAGTTAATAAAAAGTGACTTTTGATTTTTTTGATTAATGTTTGTTTATAATGTCAAATCATAATAAAATAACCAAACTACCCCCATTTATTTAAAATATTTACGACTTCACCTATGTAACATATTTTGACCCATGAGGGTAAAATTGTAATTTCACAGTTGGCTAAAAACTAACTTTCCAAATGAAAAAAAAGACAAAAAAGCCAACTTCTAACTTTTGCTACAAACCAAAAAAAGTGACTTTTAGCCAACTTTCTAAAATAGCCTTAAATGACAAAGAACCGAGCCATAAAATTTTTCAATTTTGACACGAGTACTTACTTAGATTGAATAAGTAAAGGGAACTTTTCATTGATAAGAAAAAAAAAAATGTGAAAGGGGATTGAGTTGACGATAAAATATTTGACTGATGATGAAGAAAGAGATTTTGAAGCAATTTGGCTCATTCACAGATCATGAATGTTGGGAAATCTTATTATGTAAAGAGACATTGCTTTATCTCTTTTCCTCCAACCCTAACTCCAACCTCAATCTCAATTAGGACTGGCTTTGTTTGGAAAGTGGATTGATTTTTTTGGCTATTTTAGTTTTGGGCTAAAAAGTCTCGTTTGAATTAGGCTTTTTGACTTTTTGGCTTTTATGACTTTTGTTTTAGAAAAAATAAAATAATTATGATTTAGATATAACATTTTGTCTTATTGACATTTTAGCGTATTTTATTTTTTTGTGACTATTTTAACCTGGTAGCCCCATGCCAAACGAGGGCTGTGATGGTCTTTTCCCACCTTGCGTTAATGTAGCTTCGAAGAAAAAACACACAGTAAAACATGTATTTTATTAAGGCATTTCATCGAACACATAAACATGTTTTGTGCCTATGGTAAAATAAATATTTCAAGGGGCAAAATTGCAAGGATTTTTTTAAAATGAGGGAAACTGATGAGGAGCATATATCAAAATTTAAAATGGGGCAAAGTGATTTATTTTATTTTATTTTATTTTATTTTCTTACAAAACAGATTAATAGTAATTTTTATAAAAATGGGGAAGGGAACAGCTGCCCCTCCTAGGCCTTTGCTGCCTTCGCCCTGGGTCAAGGATTTAAGTCTTTCATACACAAGATTTTGGATTCATAGATTACGGCCTTTGAGGGAATGTTTTGCATTGAAAACAGGGGTGAGTTGTTCATAAAACATGATAGTGCCAAAAACATTGGTTGTAAAAATCATATAATCCTGTATATGCGAAAACTCAAAAGCAAAATTTTAAAATTGACTTGCATGGTTGCACTTAGAAAATGTGCTTGTTTTTATCTTTTAAGGTTTCAAGAAGGAATGGTTGAGGCTTCACATTGATGACAATGGTGAAATAGTGGTCAATGGGGAGAGGCACGGAAGCAACAACAAAATTGTCCGCTTCGAGCAGACCTTTCAGGTGCCCAGAAGTTCAGACCTAGAAAAAGTCACTGGCAGATTTGAAGGCGAGGTTCTGTATGTCACGGTCCCAAAGAAAGCGAAAGAAGAAGAGCGAGAACATGACAAGGGACTGACTGATGATATTGAGGAAAGGCACGAGCAGGCGAAAAAGGAGGAAGAAGGTGATGAGAGACCCACCAATGATGTCAAGAAAAAGCACGAGCAGGCGAAAAAGGAGGAAGGAGGTGATGAGAGACCCCCCAATGATGTCAAGGAAAAGCACAAGCAGGCAAAAAAGGAGGAAGGAGGGCATAAGGGAACTGCCAATGGGGTTGATGAAAAACATGAACATAGACGTCGTGAAAATGACAAGAACACGGGAATGGCTAGGGAAGGAGGTTCCAGGGAAGAAAACAGAGAGGCGTGGAGCAGCGAGGCGGGTCTGTTGGGAAGTGTAGTGGAGATTGTAAGCAGGAACAAAGGGATTTTAATGACAGCTGTGTTGGCATTTTCACTAGGGGTGTTGGTGTCTCAGAAATTCCAATCAAATATTGGAACTGAGGGAGGTTTTTCACAGTATAATCATACATTCTAGTCGGTATTAGTGGTCGTGTTTCTGTATATAACAAATAATCATGTATGCTCACAGAACAACAAGAACTCCAAATACTAATCAATGTCTACTTGTTCCTTATCATTTCCTTTCACATTTATTACTTGGACTAGTTGTCCTGCAAAAATTTAAACTTGGTACTTCAATTCAGTCTATTTTTTTTGTCTCCCCATGAGCTGAATGTTTGTAACAATAGGGATAATTACCTTATCCCATGCGAATCGTTACCTGTGACTATTCAATACTCTTGTGAAAAAGTGATCACATCGGAGCAATTCCGGGACCGAATCCACTTTGAATTTCATAAATGCATTGCTTGTGAAGTATGTGTTCGTGTATGTCCAACATATATCATCAATGAAACCAAACTTGGGCTAGCCCATTTGGCTGAAGCCCTTGCACCTCACTACGACGCCAAGGGTTCAAGTGTTGTATGTGGCAAGAAAGGCACAAAATGCATATCATAGAAAGCCCTCCAGGATGCCTCAGGCATCACATTCAAGCATTCTGATATATTGAATGTGGTGGATGTTTCCAAATGACAATTTGAAGTACTAAGGATATGTCGGAAAAAAAAGAAAGTTCACAACACGCAACGGTGTAACAAAGTGTTCTAAAATGATGAAATATTTTCCAACAAAAGTTAATCAATAAGCAATCTCACAAGCAGTTTTCACATTTTGAAGAATAAACCTTCAATAAACCTACATAGGCATATCAATGCTATATTTAGCAGAGTTAATGAATTGAACGATGCAATGAACTAAGTCGATTATGACTCATAATTGAACGGTTATGCTATATTTAGGAGATGATCAATATGAACAACAAAAGGTTACCCTAATCACACAAGTCGGTCAATATTTATATTCATTTTTAGAGAGTAAAATGCAGTCATGGCCAACCGTAGCCATTTACTCTTTACAATCACCATGACAAGAACATGTATCCAAATCTTATTAATAAAAACACATGCTGGCTTAAATATGGATTAGCTTCACTTATAATCACGCTTTAAAATAGTTAATTTTAATTAATATAAAGATCCAGGCAAAGGTCATGATAAACAGGATCAACAATTCAAATCTACCAAGTTTAGAATTAATGTCATGACAAACAAAAACTAAATCTATGAAAAGTTAAACGCATGAAAACTCAAGGATAGATAAGGAAATGAAAAGGAAAAAAATAAAAATAAAAATTGAACGAAAATTGTGAGCTCAATCTTTTTCCTGTGGGCTTGAACCCACCTGACAATCATCCTCAGGAAGAATAAGCCAAGAACATAAGCATCAATTCAAAAATCGCTTTATCTAAAAAGGATCAGATTCCATAACCAATCAACAAAAGGAGAATCACTGTGCAAAAACTCCACTAACTGACCAATACGTGACGAGTGAGGAACAAGAAGCTTCTTCGATTTGTGTGCCACATGCCGGTGTAAGGTCCCACAAGGCAGCCGCAGCATAGGAGAGTTTCTACACCAGAAGCCACGAGAAATTAAAGGATAATCAATTGTTCTAAAATGTAAGCATACATGATTATAACTTCCAAACAAGTTGTTTCCTAGTTTTATATCTCAAAGACAAAACAATTGGTCAACATTATAGTATTTTGGCCCTGTTTGGTACAGCTTAATTTCAGCTTATTTCAGCTTTCAGCTTAATTTAAGCTATTTTGATGTGTTTGGTTTAGCTTATAGCTATAAGCTGTTTAGGCATAAGCTATAAGCACTTTCCCACAGCTCTACCAAACAGGGCCTTTATTTGCTCTTCTCAGCGATCCACGGGTAACTGTTAATTTAAATAACTTATTTTGGGATGGAAAATCAACCAACTAACTTTTTTAATATGCAACTCATACAGTTCAGAATCTGTATATCTTCCACAACAGAATGGCATCCAGCAGGTGTAACATAAACAAAATGTAGGCACTTGGCAATTGAGAATTGACTAAAGCCAGAGAAAAGCAACAGACCTTTGATCATATGAAGCACCAGTTTTAATGGGTTCACAGTGAATCCAAACAGCTCCTAAGCCCAGCCCTGGTTTGATCATATTTTTTTAAAAGAAATTTTCAACATTAGTTAACATGGGTATTTTTTTTAAAATGACTTTGGACTCACCCAGCAGTATAAACCCGAGGATCAAACAACACTCCCGAATCACTTAATCTGGGCAAACGGGGGTATTGAACCCTCGTTGGAAGTGTGGGTACATCATCACCCACCAACTATCTCGGACCCACATTAGTTAACGAGGTTAGCATAAAAAGAAAGATAACTTAATGCACGAGACTCCTGTTAAAGCGGGATGTAGAATGGCAAAATGGACTGTCTTACTTTCATTTCTAGAGAGGTTTCCATGACTCAAACATGTGCCACCAAGAACGCTAACAACAAGCCTTGCCATTGGGCCAAGTCACTGTTTGGGTTAAATTCAAAATTTTGAGCAGGTTTAGGCTCCCAATCCAATGTCGGAAATTTGAGGCACAATCTGAACAAACTTGACTGTCCTAACCCTGACTGAGAACACAATCAACTTGACAGCTATAGAGTTGACAATGGATATAAAAGAATAAGGGCCACGAAGCAAAAAAGAAGAGATGCTTAGTCCTTAAAAAAAACTTTATTCAAAATGTTGTGGGTTGCTTTTGACAAAAAGGAGAGGGGGCCCTATTGTAGTGTGCTGGAATCATGTACCCTGCAGAGGCATCTTAGTTGTGGTGCTATGAATGAGGAGAACAGTCATAACTAATCTTCTTTAAAAGAATACAAGAGATTTGTTTTCTTGAAACACAAAATACTCGGATATATGTTTCGAAATCATTATAAATAATATGACTAATAACACATCCTACATTACCTAAGAAAGCAATACTACCAAATCTAATTCAGCTAAAGGAAGGCTTTTGAAGGTCTTTCGAGATCATTAGGTATTTGCTTTCATACGATACCTTATCTGCTCTCGTGAACTTTCCTTTTTTTTTTCCCCCCCGACAAATTTTTTCTACAATTGTCCTCAACAGAAAACCGGTCCCTCATTACTGTTGAAAACTTTGCTTTACTTCAATTTGCAATAAGTAATCAGACTACTTCACCAAGCCTTTTCACTCATCTTTAGTTTCTAATTAGCCTTGCCTGTGGCTAATGATAACTAAACCACCATTGCTGTTCTTGTTACTCTAGTCGTATTCACCATAACCACTCCTCTCAATTCCTTCTTGGATTTAAATAATTCAAAGCACAGAAGAATTTCATAAAATAGTACACGGATGAGCTGCAAATGCAAATGTGTTATCACCCCCCAAGATTCAAACCACCGAATAAATTAGCTTTAGCTCCAATTTTAGAACCCAGTTCGAACCTTCAATCCAATTCTTAATCGAAACCCTCAAGCCTTGAAATTCTGATACCTGAATTGGTGTGAACTTGAAAATAAGATTTCATTAGCTAAAAGGAAAAATTAACTTAATCAATTCAGCAGATTGTCACGGTATTAGAATCTTGTTATTCTCTGTTACAAGCATCTTATCCAGTAGCATACACTTTAGAAAATAATTAACTGAATAATAATCAAATACACATATATACATAAAAAAAAAATACCTGTCCAAAAACTTTATCCAGAGCATGATTTCAGTCCAAATCTAAGACATTGCGATAAAATTGTATGAAAAAAATTTCAAATTTAGTTTTAAAAATAAAATAAAATGGTGAAATTTATCATGTTCCTCTCATTTAAAATAAATAAATAAATGGCAAATTGGCATTGTGGTTGGTTTGAGAACGCATAAAGGAGGGAAGCTCCTCAAGTCTTAAAAGTTGAAAGAAAACCTTCATGAGCGAGAATGGAATCTCTCTCTCTCTCTCAATATACATATATATATATATATATATTTATATTGGAATGCACCAGTAATCATCTCAAGGGCAACCAACATTCCCCAAATCTAAAAAATAATTTTTAAAAGACAAAAACACCGAAAACAAAAAATAAAAAAATTACAGAAATAGAAAGCAAAGAAGGATTTTAAAAAGGCAACAGAAAAAGCAAAGACAACAAAGAAAAAAAAACCCACGTCTCATCTCACCGCCATCAACGGCCGTTTCACTTCCACCACCCTCACCCTCGATTTTCGAACCACCACCACCACCTCCGCCGGAGAAGAGGCAATGACACCATGACGACGGCGACTCTGCAGCCAACGCCACCACCACAGCAACCCAAAACGATACGTAAGCTGATCGTCTACGTCCACGACGCACGCGACCTCCTTCCCAAAGACGGTCAGGGAAGCTCGAGCCCTTACGTGGTTGTCGATTTCGATGGCCAGAAGAAGCGAACATCGACGGTCGTAAGGAATTTGAACCCTGTATGGCAAGAGACTCTCGAATTCGAGGTCTCCGATCCTAACACCATGGAGTATGAAGAGCTCGAAATTGAGGTCTTCAATGATAAGAAGATGTGTAGTGGAATTGCGAGGAAGAACCATTTTCTGGGGAGAGTGAAGCTCTACGGAAGCCAGTTTAAGAAGAGAGGGAGTGAGGCTTTGAATTACTTCCAGTTGGAGAAGAGGAGTGTGCTCAGTTGGATTCGCGGAGATCTAGGGTTGATTATTTACTACTACGATGAGTTGGTTGATGAAATCAAGACCGATCCTCTGCCGCCGCCGGAGAAAGAGACAGAGAAAGAGAAAGAGAAAGAGAAAGAGAAAGAGAAGGAGAAGGAGCCGACGATGATGACTATCCCAATGGCGACAGTTGTGGCGGAGGACGGTAGGGTTTTGGAGGTTCCGATGCACACCGAAGTTGCGATGGAGGGATCACAATCGCCGAGGATTGTCACCGTAGAGGAGACTCGGCCGCATCCTGATCATCACCAGTATTATCATCATCATGAGCCGCAGCCGGTGGTTCCGCCGGAGCATCTGCCGGAGGTAAGGAAGATGCAGATGGGGAACGTGAATGAGAGGGTTAGGGTTTACAAGAGGCCGAACGCGAATGGAGACTTCTCACCGAAAGTCATCTACGGTAAGTTTTCCGGCGAATCGGAGAAGATTTATGCTCACGATCTCGTCGAGCCGATGCTGTACCTCTTCATCCGAATCGTCAAAGCTCGCGGACTCGCCGCGAACGAGAGCGCCTACGTGAAGATCCGCACGTCGAACCACTCGGTGAGATCTAAACCGGCGATTCACAGGCCCGGCGAGTCGTCGGCGAATCCCGAATGGCACCAAGTCTTCGCTCTCGCTAACCAAAAGCCAGACTCATCAGGTAATCTACAGATCTCGGTTTGGGATTCGCAGACCGATCACTTTCTCGGCGGCGTTTGCTTCGATCTCTCCGACGTCCACGTCAGAGATCCGCCGGACAGTCCTCTCGCTCCGCAGTGGTTCCGACTCGAAGGAAGCGGTCAGGATCCGAATTCCGGCAAGGTTTACGGCGACATACAGCTTTCGGTCTGGATCGGAACTCAGGCCGACGATGCTTTTCCGGAGTCGTGGAGCTCCGACGCGCCGTATGTGGCGTACACGCGGTCCAAGGTTTACCAGTCTCCGAAGCTGTGGTACCTCCGAGTGACCATTATTGAAGCTCAGGACCTCCACATTGCTCCGAATCTACCTCCATTGACAGCTCCTGAGATTCGAGTCAAAGCTCAGCTAGGGTTTCAGTCCGTACGGACTCGAAGAGGAGCGATGAACAACCATACGTCGTCGTTTTTCTGGCAGGAAGAACTGGTTTTGGTCGCCGGCGAGCCTCTGGAAGACAATCTGATCTTGATCGTTGAAGATCGCACTGGGAAAGATCCGGTGGTTCTCGGCCACGTCATGATCCCTGTGGACTCGGTGGAACGACGGCTCGATGAGCGCCATGTGGCGTCCAAGTGGGTTGGCTTGGAGGGCAGTCCTAGTGCTACTGCTAGTGGTGCTGGTTGTGTTTGTGGTCCAGCTGGGCCTTCTTACTATGGGAGAATACACCTGAGGATGTGCTTGGAGGGTGGGTATCACGTGCTCGACGAGGCGGCACACGTGTGCAGCGATTATCGGCCAACGGCGAAGCAGCTGTGGAAGCCGGCGGTGGGGATCTTGGAGCTGGGGATTCTCGGTGGTCGTGGGTTGTTTCCGATGAAATCCAAGGGCGGAGGTAAAGGGGCCACCGATGCTTATTGTGTTGCCAAGTATGGGAAAAAGTGGGTCCGGACCAGAACTATTACTGACAGCTTTGATCCACGCTGGAATGAGCAGTACACGTGGCAAGTCTATGACCCCTGCACTGTCCTCACCATTGGTGTATTCGACAACTGGCGTTTGTACGGCGACGGGGTGGAAGACCGACCCATTGGGAAGGTGCGGATACGAGTCTCCACACTCGAGAGCAACAAAGTGTACAACAATTCTTACCCCTTGTTGGTGTTGAGATCCGGGTTGAAGAAAATGGGCGAAATTGAGGTGGCAATCCGGTTCGCTTGCCCCTCATTGTTGCCCGAGACGTGTGCAATTTACGGCCAGCCCTTGCTCCCCAGAATGCACTACCTCCGCCCGCTCGGTGTGGCTCAGCAAGAGGCACTACGTGGGGCCGCCACTAAAATGGTGGCAGCCTGGCTTGGCCGGTCAGAGCCACCACTAGGCCACGAGGTAGTTCGGTACATGTTGGATGCAGACTCTCATACTTGGAGCATGAGAAAGAGCAAGGCCAATTGGTTTCGGATTGTGGCGGTTCTAGCATGGGCAGTCGGGTTGGCAAAATGGTTAGACGATATCCGAAGGTGGAGGAACCCGATAACAACAGTACTAGTCCACTTACTCTACCTAGTCCTAGTTTGGTACCCGGACTTGATAGTCCCAACCGGCTTCTTATACATCTTCCTAATAGGAGTATGGTACTACCGGTTCAAACCCAAAATACCCGCGGGCATGGATACTCGACTATCTCAGGCTGAAACCGTCGACCCAGATGAATTAGACGAAGAATTCGATACAATCCCAAGTTCAAGACCGCCCGATATGGTCCGGGTCAGGTATGACCGGTTGAGAATATTGGCAGCAAGGGTGCAAACAGTGTTGGGTGATTTTGCTACACAAGGAGAGAGGGCCCAAGCCCTGGTGAGCTGGAGGGACCCAAGGGCTACAAAATTGTTTATTGGCGTGTGCTTAGTCATCACGGTGGTGCTCTATGTGGTTCCACCAAAAATGGTGGCAGTGGCACTAGGGTTTTACTTTTTGCGCCACCCAATGTTCAGAGACCCCATGCCACCAGCTAGCTTGAACTTCTTTAGACGACTTCCAAGCTTGTCTGATAGGCTAATGTAGTGTTAGAAGAAGTTTATAACTTATAGTAGATCATAACAACACTCTTTTTAGGGCTTTTTTTAAGGGATTAATAATAATTGTGGGGTTTGTTTGTGGGGGAGAGAGACTTATAAATTGGGAAGAGTATGTGATTTTTTGTTCCCGAAATTCATGTTTTTTGTATTGAGGTTGTATTTTGATTGAAAATTTGTTGAGAGAAATGAAATGAAAATGGAAAGAAAAAAGGAAAACAAAATTAATTTTTATTTCATTCACTCTTCTTTTCAGAAATCTTTTTTTTTTTTTTTATAATTTTGATCTAATTATAATCTTAATATTTTCTTAATTGTATGATTGTATCTTAAGATTCTTATCACGTCAGTGTATTTATTGAGGTAGAAAACACAAATTTTGAGACAAAGATCCATACCCAAAAATAAAATATTTTGCATAACATATACACCACAATGATGTAGCCCTTTTTTCTCATATGTGAGTTGGTCTCTCTCTTTTAGGTTTTACATGTATTTGGGAAAAAAAGTTTCTCAATACAAATAATCTGATTGTAAAATAAGATATAATTTTTTTTATAAAGAATGAAATTTATTAAATATAAATTTTATCTCATATAAAAAAATTATATTTAATGTTATAATCGAATTTTGTGTATTTCCAAACAAAATATTACAGTGTCCAAATCAAACTATTTGTTTCAATGTATGGGCTGAAAAGTGTAGCAAATAACATTGGAAGGAGTGAAAAGTAGGGATGAAAGGGGGAAAAAGGTGCGGAAGATGAATGATTTTCTTTGTAATGTTGAATAGATTGACTGACAGATTGAAATAATGAAAAAGGGCGAGCCCTTAAGGCAAGAGTAGATATGGGTGGAGGAAAAATGGAGTGCAAGTGAAAAAGGTCAAGGAGAGTTATGTTGGTGTGACTGTGTCAACCGAAAATATTGCTCATTCCGTTTCAAAATATTAGTCTTTTATTTTATTTTTTATTGTCCTAAAATATTAGTCCCTCTTTATAAATCAAGTACAAAAATAATGTAAATTTTCTATTTTACCCTTCTTTTAAATTAATAAATAATTTAAAAAATACAATTATGACATTGATATTCTCAAAAAATGTACTATCAAAAGGGTAATTTTGGAAAACCAACTTTTTTCAAATGCAATAAGTGTACTATCAAAAAAAGTTGGATTCCCCAAAAAGGACCAATATTTTGGGACGGAGGGAGTATGATGGATCATTAGATGACTGTAAGAAAGCGGTAACAAGATTTCAAATTTGATGATGTTTAGGAATGGTAACAGGTCGGGTCGAGATCGGGGATTATATTTTTTGTTTTCGATCCTCAATGGTAGAAATTTTTTCGTCTTCGGCCTCGATCCCCGACGGGGAGCCTATCACTGCCCCCGTCCCCGTCCCCTAACGGGGATCGGGTTTCCCCAACTCCGAAAATTCTCCGGCCAAAAAAAAAAAAAAAAAAAAAAAAAAAAAACAACAACAACAACATCCATATTCAACAACAACAGATCTTATATAGTCATCAACAACAACAATGTTCATCATCATCATCATCATCATCATCATCATATATGCGTAAATCAGATTAAATATGAAGTTTGAAAACAGATATGTATAATGCAAACAAATTAAATTTGTGTATAATGAAACAAATCAAATATGTAGAACAACAAATATGTGTATAATGAAAACAAATTTAAAAAAAAAAATTATGTTTGATGAACAAAAATTAAATCAGTAATTTTTTTTTTTATTATTATGTTTCATCATCATCATCAACAACAATCATCAACTTAAAAACAAAAAAACACGGATCAGATCACAAAGAGAGAGATGAGGTAGGGCGGTGGTGGTGGTGGATCTGGGTCTTGCACACACGGATCAGATCAGATCAAATCTGATCTCACGGCCGGTGGTGTGGTGGATCTGGATCGTGTGGTTGAGCAACTCTGGCGGCTGAGAGAAAGGACGAAGTCGAAGACATCACGGTGGAGATGGATGGTGCGACCAACGGCGAGATGAGAGAGAGGAGAGATAAGAGAGAGGAGATAGTTTCAGAGCAGTGGGAGGGATGGGCGAGTGAAGCGATGAGAGAGAGGGGAAACAAGAAGAGAGAGAACTGGGATAGATATATAAATATAATATAATATCATATAACCTAAACAGCAACCTAAAACATATATAATAATATTATATAGATAGATATAATATAATATACACATATATACACATACGGGGAAGTTTCGGGGAAATTGCGGGGCGAGGCCAGGCCGGGGCCGGGGCCGGGGAAGGAAAACTTATCACCGTCCCCAGCCCGAAATTGATCGGGGATTTAATTTTGAATACCATCCCCGTCCTCACGGGGGTATTTTTCAGGAAAAAACTATTCTAATCGAGGTTAGGGGATCGGGTCCCCGTCAGGTCGAGTTCAAATTGCCATCCCTAATGATGCTAAAGAGGATACCACTATAATTTGGATGCGATTTCCAACTCTGCCAATTGAGTACTATAATGAGAAGGCTCTATTTTATATAGCAAAAGTGCTGGGTGTACCGCTAAAGATAGATATCAACACAGCCATGGCAGCCCGGGGAAAATATGCACGAGTTTGTGTCGAGATGGATCTTCGAAAGCCACTGATCTCAGACCTTTCGATAGGTAAACATACATGTGGTATTGAATATGAACATATACACTCATTATGTTTTTCTTGTGGTAGGATTGGGTATCGGAAGGAAGTGTGTATTGATAATATCAAAACAGTGCCAGAGCTGACCAGCCAAAGAGTTGTCGGAGAAGAAAGTCAGGAACAACCTACAATCTCTAGTAATGGGCCTGGTCCAAATAATACCAAATAGACATCGGAGCCTTACCCAGGAACTTATGGGCCTTTGATGACTGTGTCCTAACCACTAAGAAAGCAAAGGGGCTTAACTGGTCATAAAGGGCCCAATACCCAACAAACGAATAGATTTGAGATCCTGACAGAAGGGGCAGATCCTCCACAAGGCCAAAAGGCCCATCTAGATAGGAACAAACATTAGAGAGGCAAAACCCAAACAGATATGGGCTTCAAGTATAAGGAAAGAGCAAAGAATCATAAAAGAGGTGAATCTGAGAGTCTTGCTTTGGCAGTGACAGTGAACAAGACTACAGAGGAGATCAAACTGGGTAAGCAAGCTACCACTGACATGAAGATTCGAGATCAGACGCCAGGTCTGGGAAAAGCTGAAGCTACTAATCTTCCTAGCATCCCTTCATTCACAGTACCCCTTTCATCACCTCCCACAACTGTCATGTCCCACTTTTTATTACTCGAAATCATTACCAAATTCATTAACTTAATTCAATTTCAAAGATAACATGCGGAAATAAACTCATACATTCAATCTGTAGAAGTGATTAACAATACTCTCATTCGTATGCAAAGTAAGTATTACATGAACATACTTAATAAATTACCCTTGGGCTTACATCACATAAGGTACAAGAAGAAGGGTGTAACTCTTTTACAACAATGGCATTCCGCCCATATAAGAGAGGCCCCGTGGCCAACAAATAAGAAGACCCAATTCTTGCAGCACATTCTGCTCAATACCTGAAAAAGATTCGACAACGTGGGATGAACATATAGTCCAGTAGGGAACTCAACATGGCCCTCAACAATAACAACATACAGATAGCTATGATCATGAACACCCATTCTCATACTAGAATACTAATGTGACAATTTATACAAAATATAAATGTATGAACTTTTCTTGAAAATAACCATTTCAATCAACGCCATAGGTGATTCATCTTTCCTTTTTCTTTTTATTAATCCCTGTTCCCAATCTTTCATAACATTAACAATACCTTAGGAAATAAATTCACTAAGCCCACTACTCTCTTCCATTTTCTAAACATACACAGATACACCTTTTCAAAGTATATGTTTCTTTAAAAAGTCCGTTCTCCTTCACACTTTCCAAAAGACAAATATGACATTTTGGCTTTTTCCCGATACCATCAACTCTATACATGTACTGTTATAAAAAGAAATAACAACTCACTGACATGCATAAGATAAACCAATGAGGTAACTCGGCCCTCCAAAACCATAATCAACACAATCCATGATATTCCCAAACACACTGAAATATCAACAACAAAACTTAGCTCTACTAGCCATGTGCATAGTAAGCCAAAGATACACCTCTCTCAACAACATGCCAGTTTACCAGGCGCTAGCTGGAAGGCTGTGGTACCTTAGATTCTCAGCGCATTCAGTTCTCCAGGCGCTAGCTGGAAGGTCACGGTACCTCTGATTCTCAGCACAAGGTATAACACCACCAATCGAAATGCAACCGGGCATAACCAATATGTACAACATATATACATAAACCATCCAGATACAAACAATTGTGTTAAAGTAAATGAGAACATAGGTGTGTGGAGTCCATCCCCCATCTTCTCACACACACTGGAGTACAACCCCTCTCTCCTCCCTAACAAGTATACATATATAATGTATCTTAATATTTCATCACATAAGATGTTCAATCAACAATGGTGTAATGCACACACGACAATTCAACACAATCACGTCATCCTCCACCGATGACCAAGGACAAAACCTCTAGATGCAAATATTCAGTACATCTATTAAAGACTTAATTACTATGAGACCACAAACCCGACCACAACGTTAACCTGGTAGTTCAAGATACAATCCACACGTGTGTGTTCAACACTCATGAAACAACAATCCAATTTTCATACGTATTTCAAAATACCTTTCCCATTTCACAAAACAAGTTCCATATCCTTTTTATTTTCACAAAATCAACTCCGCCCCTTTTGTTGTTACAAAACCAAATTCATTCCTTTGTTTTACAAAACCATTTCCATTAATAATAAAGTCATAACTCACATTAGTCCACTACATTCATTTCAAACCATTCCAAAGCCAAAGTTAATCCCTTAGGCATTAACACTTTCACCCATCCCACATCAACACTAGAGATTTACAATATAGATTCACTATCCTCCATTTTAATTTATCAATCAAATATGATTTAGGGATTTTTCTTCCATCAACCACAACATGCTAATTTACACTCCAATTAGCCCAAAACACCCATTAATGACAACATAACCATTTTCTAACACCCAACCCTAGGTTCCTTCTCATGATTTCAAACAAATCCAACATGGATATGATTTTTATGCAATACAAAATTACCACATG